TACATGTATCCGTTCATGGGGTCTTGCGTCCATGTGGGTGTGCGTGCGTGCTGTTCACGCCTGCTTCGTGCCGAGAGAGAGAGAGAGAGAGAGAGAGAGAGAGAGAGAGAGAGAGAGTGTGTGTGTGTGTGTGTGTGTGTGTGTGTGTGTGTGTGTGTGTGTGTGTGTGTGTGTGTGTGTGTGCGAGAGTTTTCCTCACGCCACTACTCGTCGTCGTCATTGGCTATCCAGGGCAAAGGCACGCATGCTCAAGTGGGCGCTGGTCAACAATCGCCAGGCGTTTGTGCAGGTGAGCTGCAACGTTGATTTCGGCATATCCATTCAATATCACGCACGGAACGCTGACATGCTTCGCGCGCACACTCACACGCGCGATCTTCGTTTGCTTGTTTGCTTGTTCGTTCGTGTGTTCGTTTGTTTGTTCGTTGGTTTTTTCGTTTGTTTGTTTGTGCTCTCACTCTGACGCGATCACTAACGCTCACTCGTGTCACCTCCTCACACAAACACACACACGCATATTTTGGTGCAGATTTTCCTCGAGACGATGGACACGCAGGACGTGACGGCGTTTCTGCGCACCCCGACAACATCAGGCCTCACCCTGCCCTCTCTCCGCAAGATCTCGCACTCCCGCTCAAAGTACAGCGGCATGCCATTGTCTGAGCAGCGGCTCACACACGTGGTGTTGTGGCTTTGGCATAGCGCAGTCATAGCCCGTGCGCATCGCTGCACTAAGCAGCAACGACCAGTGCTCAACAGTGTTTTCTCACACTAACCTGCGTTGCGTGCATGTACATATATGTGTGTGTGTGTCTTTCAGGACGCGTGCGAAAGGACGGGCAAGGCAAATGGTGCGTCACCGGAACACTTGTTTTCACAAACGCTGCGCGCATAACTTCACAAACACAACACGTGTGCAGTCTGTTCAACGTTTCGCATGTTCACACACGCACACACACTTGCCTCGCTCCTTTTCTCTTGATGCTGTCAGATCAAGTGGAGCAACTTGAAGCACCGGTTCTCCGTCCCACTGCCACCGACGCTCAACACCGACCCGCTGCCGGCCCACTGCCACTCCCTGCTCGCGGTCAGTTGCTGGTTAGCGTGTGCAGCGTGTGCAGCGTGCACACACACACACACACACACACACACACACACACAAGTTCGTGCCCTGCTCTCATTGCCAGTATATGCCAACGCTCCTGCCTGTACGCCTGCCTCCTCCTTCAGGACATTGCTGCAACGAAGATGTACTGTGACCTGAAGGAGCTGTTCCAGTCGCGCCTGACGATCACCCAGCGCGAGATGCGGCAATACGACTTCAACATCGACTTTGACCACGACGACGTTGCCGACATTCGCAAGCGCGAGGAACTCATCATCGAGGTGACGATGGCGGTGTGGGTGTTATTGTTTGCATTGGCTGACGTTTGCGTGAAAAAGGACTATCATTTTTCGCACACGCTTGCAAACACGCACATATGAAAACACACACACACGCACACACACACACACACACACACACACACACACACACACACACACACACCCTCTCTCACTCTCACTCACTCACTCAGTCATCTCACTCACACACACGCTCTCTGTCTCACTGAATGCACATGCCCTGATGTTCAAGGCGAACAAACGGTTCACGATGGCCAACGGGGCCAATGCATGGCACATGCTCTCGTACTTTGACGTCTTCTTCGTCCGATTCCTGGTGATGCCACATTCCTGGCATTTGTCTTCTGTCTCACACGTGATGGGCTGCGCTGGCACAATGCAACATATCACCATTGTCTACCTATCCTCACGTCCCATCCAACCACTTGTACCACCACCACTGCCACGATTCATGTCACTCCCGCCAGTTTGCGCAAGGATTTATGGTGTCACGCATCCCTGTGTCGTCTTCTGGCCCGCCACCACGCCACGCGGAGGCCATCGAAGGGCTCACGCGCGCCATCCACCTCATCTGGGTCCATCGCATGGTTGGTGCACACACCCCGCTCAGTTCCCTGCGGTTGTCTCTGCCGGATTGCGCATCTGGCCGTGTCTGAGTCTTGTTTCTCATGGATTGTGTGCTCGTGGATTGTGTGTGTGTGTGTGTGTTTGTGTCTGTCTGTCTCTGTCTCTGTCTCTGTCTCTGTCTCTGTCTCTCCCTTTCTCCCCCTCTCCCCCCCCTCTCTCCCCCTCCCCCCCCACACTAACACCCACTCTATCTGTCTCTCTCTGTCTCCATCCCCCAATCACTTCTTTCCTGTCATACCGCTCACGCCATCAACGCGCGATTGCTGCACAGCTCGACGACGGCTGGTCCTATGGAAAGGCGCTGGACGAAGAGATGCAGGAGTCACCGCTCATCTGCGCTTATGACAATCAGAACGACGGCAGCGCGTTCCTCAACGAAGACATCAAACACGACATGCGCGCACACGGTCCGTTATCCTCATCGTCTCTTTGCTTGAGATGGAACTGACACGCGCAGCTGCGCGCACGTTTGTGCTCACCGCACGTCCTGAGCCTGCACACATACACATACGCGCGTACACGTGAGCATGCACACGTCCACATACCCATGCACAAGTACATGTGCACATTTACATTTGCGCATGTGCACACATTCCCTCACTTTGCGGCCCTGTCGTCCATACTTTCGCTTATCCGTGTACTCCTTCCGTTCTTCACTCGGCTGCAGCTGCGCGGTTTATGGAGACGCTGTATTCGTCCATGCGCATCGTCATCTGGCAGCCGAACACGCTGGAGAGTCTCTTCATCCACCCAACACTCACCCGCACCCCACGGCACAACGCAAAGTACACCCACCTCGTCAGCCTCTTCCCGGTGGGTCGTGTGTGTGTGCGTGTGCGTGGGTGTGTGTGTGTGCGTGCGTGTGTGTTTGTGTGTGTGTGTGTGTGCGTGTGTGTGTGTGTGTGTGTGTGTGTGTGTGTGTGTGTGTGTGTGTGTGTGTGTGTGTGTGTGTGTGTCTGTGTGCTCTTGCATTTTTTCTACGTCTGTGTCTTTCTTCAGGTGCTGCATGTCGTGGGTAATTCTGCTTCCTTGCGCTCGTGCTCACTGTCACATTGTTGTTGGATTGCCTCCTTTCTCTCACACTTAGGGTGGCTCGTTCTGGGAGAGCCAAATTCGTCATGTGGTGAGCCAGTGCCCTCGCTCGCCTTGCTCTTGCTGCATATCTGCTCATTCAACAATTTGTAACTGTTCATGTGCGAGTACGAAGCTGTGTTGACCTGCTTTTCCTTGTCACGTGTTCACCACGTGCTATCGCCCTTCCTGCTGCTGTTCAGCTGGCTGAGGCGGTGCACTCGGATGCAGAATACGTCTACTTGTTTGAACTGGACCCATTTTTCCTCTTGGCTGTACGTCCATATGATTGGTGTTTCTCGCTCCCTTGCTCTCGTCCATGCCCGTGTCAACACACTCGTGCACTCGCTGGATACCACACTCACACGACCAGTGACACGCGCACACACGCGCACACGCACACACGCACGTGGACGATGGCGCGTCACTCACGTTGGTCTTGCTGCTGCTACCTGTGGTTGTGTCAGGTGTGGGCAGCAGTGACCAACTTTCCAAGGCTCACGAAATACTTTTGGCACCTCAGTCCGCAGTACGTATCGCACCACGCAGTCCCGCCTGTATTTTTCATGAGTTTGTAGCACCTGCGCGCCCTCACACAACATGCGTGTACGTGTGTGTGTGTGTGCGTGTGTGTGTGTGTGTGCGTGTGTGTGTGTGCGTGTGTGCGTGTGTGTGTGTGTGTGTGTGTGTGTGTGTGTGTGTGTGTGTGTGTGTGTGTGTGTGAAGGTCGGCGATTCCAAATGGGCTGGTGTTGACGCTGGTGGTGAAGGCTGCCCTCGAACACGACGAGAAACTGCCGGTAGGAATTGCACACCTGTTCCTTCTGCTGATCGCACCAGCCCAACCACACCCGATTGCCACACTTACATGCGTGCGTGCGTGCGTGTGTGTGACTCCTGCTTGTTCTCCCCTCCCCCATTTTCTTCTCTTTGTTGTTCCCTGTTGTTTGTTGTTGGACTCACCCCCTCCCGTTCCGCACGCCCTGGGCTACCCGTTCAACAATGCGTGCGGTGCGTGTCGGGTTTCCATCAGCCGGAGAGCATTGTTGTGTTTGAAGGTCTCGCAAACGACATCATGGAGGAGTGCGTCGATATTCTCAACCACATTGACCAGCGCAACTCGAGTACGTGTGTCTTTGGAATTGTGCAAGTCTTGGCCGCTCTGACTTAGCTGAATGGTCCATGTCACATGAATGGAACTTGCAGCACACAACGCGCACACTACTCGTATTTGCATTCGCATACATGTACGCGGCTGCGTATTAACAGAACGCATGTGCACACACATACGAATGCCGCTCACTCTCCTCCCCCCCCCCCACACACACACGCCCATGTCGCCACACCAGAGCTTGCTGAGCGCATCCTGCGGAGTCGACCCGTGAATGGCGGGATGGTGCAGACCACCACGCTCGCATACCGCATTGGATATGAGGCATTTGTCGCCACAGACGCATTCCTGCGTGTCCTCAACTACCTCTGGGTGAGCTCAACACAGCTGTGGATCGGGAAAGGGGATGAGGGACGGAAGAGGAAAGAGGTTTCGGCCTGCGACTAACTAACTTTTCGTTTCGACACATGTTGCATGTTGTGTTTTGATGCAACGTGTTTGTGTTGTAACATCAAAATGTGCAGCCTTTTGTCTTCCTGTGCCGTTCATCGCTTGCATGCTCACATATGTGTGTTTGTTCCGCCCATTTTTCTCACGTGTGCTGTGGCTTTGTGACAACTTCCAGTACGACAACGTGGATCCAACCAACGGTCTCATCAAGATTTTCATCGCTGCACTCTTCCCGTTCTACCTCGTCATTCCCGGAGAGCAGCTCAAGTAAGAGGAGGGGAGAATGTGTGTTTGCATGTGTGTGAGGGGGAGAGGGGAGAAGCTTGCACAGGGGAGAAGCTTGCACGCACACACACACACACACACACACACACACACACACACACACACACACACACACACGCACGCACGCACGCACGCACGCGCGCGCACACACACACACATCTGCATGGTGCTCACCTCAGTCTTGCTTGCCACTGATGCGTAATGCTAGGGAATCACACGGCCACGCGCATCTCGGGTTCTGGGAGACGCTGAAGCGAACGCTTCCCGTCCGCATCGACACATCCGTCGCCATCGACTCGAGTGAGCTGTTGCGCCTTGATGTGCACGCGTGCATCCAGGCATACGGAACACACACACACACACACACAAACACATACCATCACGCATTCCAACTTGTACTGGACTTTGCTGCATTCTGTGTGCAAGTGGTGCGTGCTAACTGACATGCCGCACATGTGTGGCTGTTTTTGGAATTTCAGACAGCGATGGCGTTATTGACGAAGCAGACGACGTGTACGAGGAACTGATCAGAGACTCTTCTGTTGCAAACTTGAATATGTTTGACCGTGGTATGTGAAGCGTCTGGATTGGAGTATGTCTTCAACGGTGATAGTCCCCAGCACACCACTGTGTCCCCCCACCGCTCTCCCCTCTCACTGTCTCAGCTTCTCACCACGTGTGACCCCTGACACCTGTACATTCCACGTGTCAATTTCCGTCGCGTCTCAGGTCCGCAGCGCTCTTTGCGTGGCGTGAAGGCGCTTCGACGATCCATGAGCGAAGTCATTGTTCGTCAGGACTCTCCGCTCAATGTGAGTTCACGTGACAGCGTTTGCTCTGCCTGCAACACCAGCGTTGTTTGCCCGCCACCGCCGACACCGTTGCCGTCACAGGCGCTGTGCAGCCTGTTCGATCGTACATGAATGCGACCCACCTGCGATTCCAAACAACACAACAGCATAACCGCACCACCATGTGACTCATTGGCCAACCAAATGTTGTATGTCTCCCAGGTGCTGTGGCGGCGACTGTATTACTTCTATACGTCGCCTGCTGTTGGGTTCCTCCTTGAGACGGTCTCCTACATTGTTCTTCTCCTCCTCTTCTCGTACTCTGCGCTGCTGCCGACAACGAGCTGGCGCCATGGCTTTCTCAAGGACCAGGGCCCTGTTCCAGCCATCACCTTCATCTGGATGTGCATCCTCATGGTCGAAGAGGTGCGTATGTGCACTAGCGTTGACGTATTTGTGCGTGTGTGCGTGTGCGTGTGCGTGTGCGTGTGCGTGTGTGTGTTTTTATGTGGGCGTGTTGCCTTGATGTGTGCCAGGACATGTATTTGGGTGTTTTTCTGGTGTGGGCGTGTGTGTCTGCTGCTGTGTTTGTATGGGTGCTGCTTCTCCGCTTCAAGCCTCAGTGCTCGCCTTTTTGTCGCTTCGTGTTCATTCCCTGCTACGCTGGTGCTGTTGGTTGCGTGAACAGGTGCGGCAAGCCACACACCAGGGCCTGCGCATGTGGTGGGGTCAGTTGTGGAATCGCTGGGACGCCATCATCTACTTAACTTATCTCATTGCCGTCGGCCTCCGCCTCTCTCCGCGCGAGGACGACCTGGGGGTACGGTGTTGCCGTAACTGTGACTGTGGTGGTGGTGGTGGTGGTGGTGGTGGTCGTCGTCGTCGTCGTCGTCGCTGTGATAATCGTCGCTGTGATAATCGTCGCTGTGACAATCGTCGTTGTGGTGTGTGGGTTCACCCACGTGCGCTCACAGCTCTTTCCGTCTTCTGTTCGTTGTCTGCTGCAACTGCGTGCCTGCGGGTGTCCTTGTACAGCGCTCGCGGTACGTGTACAGCGGCGTGGCGATCATGCTGTGGACTCGTCTGGCCCGCCACTACGCCGTCAACCAGGACCTCGGTCCAAAGCTCATCATGGTGCAGCTCATGGTGGTACGTCACACTGGTTATGCTTGCTCCCCGCACGTGTGCGCGACTGCGTACTTGCATGCATGGCAGGCCGTAGCACTTGACCCTTCTGAGGCTGCGTTTACTTTTCTCACGAATACGTTTGCGGTGCTGGCAATGTGAGTGCAGAAAGACATTGTGGTGTTCCTCGGGCTGATGGTGCTCGTCTTCGCAGGCTACTCCGTTGCCCTCTATTCCGTGCTGGAGGAGAACCGCGACTGGGAACGACACACGTTCACAGAGATGGTGCGTGGTTGTGTATTGTGTGTATGTGTGTATTTTGTGTGTATTTTGTGTGTGTGTGTGTCTGCCCCCCTCCTTTCCTCATCGTTGAGGTTAAACACCATGTCACAGTTGCCAGCCCATGTCTCGAGCTTACATCCCCTCCCCACTTTACGTTTGCCCTCCCCCCCCCCGGGTGTGCTGGGTTGATACGGTTCAGGTGTTCATTCCATACTTTCAAATCTACGGCGAGCTCTTCCTTGAGGAAATGCGCGACAAGACAACGTGTGCAAACATGGAGTTTACAGACTGCGGCGGCGATCCGGTACGCGTGCACCTGACAATCCATATGCACATGCACATGCACATGCAATGCATTCTTGAGCCCCGTGGATTGTACACGTTGCTTGTTGTTGTTGTTGTTGTTGTTGTTGTTGTTGTTGTTGTTGTTGTTGTTGTTGTTGTTGTTGTTGTTGTTGTTGTTGTTGTTGTTGTTGTTGTTGTTGTTGTTGTTGTTGTTGTTGTTGTTGTTGTTGTTGTTGTTGTTGTTGCATGGTCCGCCCTCCTGTCTCGCACATACATGTACCGCAAGAAGCTGAAAAGCCTCGTCTTTGCTCCGTCCTCGCTTCATTCAAATTCATGACTCACCTTTCCCCACAACCTACATTGCTTCGTATGCCCTTCCCATGCACACACTGTGTTCACTGTGCTGTCACAACAACAGGGCTGGTTCGCTGCGCCACTGCTTGCTGCGTACATCATGATTGCCAACATTCTCCTCGTCAATCTGCTGATTGCCATGATGTCGTCCACATATGAGGCTGTGCAGTCCCGCGCCCTCGAGCTGTGGGCATACCAGAACCTCGACGCCCTCTTCGAAGTCAAGGAAACGTAAGCTTGTGTATGCGTGTGCATATGTCTGTGCGTGTCTGTGTTGTATGTGTGAGTGTGTGTCTGTGTGTCTGTGTCTGCATCTGTGTGTGCATGTGTCTGTGTCTGTGTCTGTGTATGGGGGGGGGGAGGGGTGGGGGGGGGGAGAGAGACACAACGTTGTTGTGACAAGTGTGATCGCCTTCATGATGTCGCCTCTCCTTTCTTCTTCATACCGGCTCTGGTTCGCACAGGTGGTTCCTTCCGGCGCCGTTCAACATTGCCCACAACGTCTACCTCGGCTTTGTCTGGGTCTTGGGCCTGCTTCGGTTCGTTGCTTGCTCATTTTCATGCTTTTCGCATGCGTGAATCGGGTGCTGTGGTCAAATGCGTTTCCCGAAAGTGTACGCACACTTCATCTCACCACACACACACACACACACATATACACGCGTGCACACGCACACACACGCACACTCACGCACGCACGCATGCACACGCACGTACACACAACACACGCACGCACATATACATACACACGATGCAGGTCGACGTGTCAGCCAAACAAGGTGGCACCTGATGAGGAAGGAACAGCAAACCTGAAGCAGTTTTTCCTCATGAAACGGGCCGGCAAGGCGATTGAGGACGACGCTGATGACCTCACCGAGGCGTAAGTCAATGCAACAACAGATGCACCACTCGCCTTCGCCATATCCCCGTGCTGTAATTGTGCGCGTGCGCGTGTGTGTGTGTGTGTTTGTGCACGTGTGTTTTTGTATGTGTATGTGTATGTGTATGTGTGTGTGTGTGTGTGTGTGTGTGTGTGTGTGTGTGTGTGTGTGTGTGTGTGTGTGGCTCAGCTGCATATCTGAATGGCGTTAAATCTGACACCCTGTGTGTATGCTTTGGCTTTACCAAGCTTCTGGCGCGAGTCACTCAACGAGGATGAGCACGCGCGCGTGATGGACGCCATTAAGAAACTTGAGGGAGAAGTGCAGCTGGTGCAGCGCCTCGTCCTCAATGACAAGGTTTGTTCATTCCTTGCATGTGTTGTTGTCCTTGCGCGTATGATTGTGTGTGTGTGTGTGTGTGTGTGTGTGTGTGTGTGTGTGTGTGTGTGTGTGTGTGTGTGTGTGTTTGCAGTTTTCGGTGGTGTGCCGGCTTGGGCTTTTCGGTGATGTCTGCAGCAGTCGTTTTTCACCATCTGCGGCATGGCTCCTTTGCATTCGCCCAACGCAGGCTCCCCATGCAACTGAATCCAACATTTGATGAGCCACCGACCGACTTGTGTGGTAGCAACGACTGACGACGAATCAGCAAGAAGGCGTCGTGCTGACGCATGGAGCCCAGGCCATGCATTCATGTTTGTGTTTGGCCTTGGACCGGTGCTTGCTTGCTTGCTGAGACGTTGATTCTGACATTACACAGCATCCACCCGTGAAATCGCACACGACTACCCAAGTGTGAACCACCACTGTTGAAGTGCTCGCACACACATACACACATACACACACGCACGCACGCACGCGCACACCATCACACACACACACGTACGCGCGCTGGTCGCATGTTCAATTCACAAAGGAGTGTACTCTTGGCTGACGTTCTTGTCGTACACAAGCGACACATTAGGAATAAGACACACAGCAAGCAATGCAAGCAGCTACACACATTTGCACGAACACATTCAGTCATTCGCACGCAAAGTAAGGCGGGAAATGAGTGTACACAGGTGCAAGGCAAGAAAGGGGAGCAATAACTGACACGAGGGGCATGACATGATAACCCTGCCCTGCTCCTGGGATGTTGGAACAGGTGAGTGATTCTTCGTGTGCATCGAGAAGCCGCGAGTGGTTCCTGACCACAAACTGGGCGTTGGCTAATCGGACACGCGCGTGCAACTTGGGAGACGGAAGGGCGTGGAGGCGGGTGCAGAGCGTGGCGGTCCCCGCCTAGATTTGCTGCACGTCAGCATCAGACTGGCGCTGCTGCTTGCGGCGGAGCAACACCACGGCGACGACGACGAGGGCGAGGAGGATGAGCGCACCAACAACGCCGCCAGCGATGGCACCGGCGTTGCTGCCCGTGGACCGGTCTGTGTTGTCGGGCGCGCTTGTGGCGTCTGGTGGTGGTGTCGCGTTGCCGACGTTGCCATCGTCGCCATTGTCGTCATTGTCGTCCGACGGCCCGCTGTTTCCAACCGCGACTGGATCTGCTGTGGAGGAGGGCATGGCGGTTGTCGTCGTACTATCGGTCACGTTGGAGTCCTCGCAAGATGGCATCCAGAAGCATACCAAGCTCGCGCCGCAGTCTGTTCTCTGTTGGCGTTTGTGTGTTGAGGACAAGGAGCAGGAGGGAAACGGGCGTTAAAGCGTGAATGAGAAAGTAAAGGATGGTGTGTGCACTTGCATCCACACACACACACACGTACATACACTCACGTACATACACACACACTCACCTACATACAAACACACACTCACACACACACACACACCTACATACACACACACTCACCTACACATACACACACTCACCTACATACATACACAGGTTCACACACAGACTCTCTCACAGCATATATAGCACAGCAGGCACAACACGCACACGCATGTACATCAAGTCACATCACACGGTGTGCTTACGTTGAGGGAGAGGCAGGAGCTGTTCTTGACGGAGCAGCCAGAGTCTGCATCCCATTGGCAGCTTGAGTCGAGTTCGCACAGCAACTGCGTCGGCAGGACACACAGCGTCAACAGCGGCTGGCATGTGCCGTTCACGGTGCAGTTCCCATCGGCCATGCAAGCGTCTTCGTCGATGCCATGATCGCTGCAGTTCTGCGCCATAACCGTGGGGATGGTGACGCCCGCCGACAGGAAGACGAGGCAGGTGGCGGCGATGAACATGTGCATCGCCCAATGCGAGCTTCGTGCCATCGTGCACAAGTGTATGTATGTATGTATGGATGGATGTATGTATGTATGTATGTACGCGTGGGTGTGTGTGTGTGTGTGTGTGTGTGTGTGTGTGTGTGTGTGCCTGTGTGTGTCTGCGTGAGCTCTGAGGAGGAGGTGGTGGAGAGATGGAGGACGACGCAGGGCTTGCGCTGATCAGCACGCCGAGCAGAGAATGAAAAGGGGGCAGGCGAAGGAGTTGAGGCGACGGTGAAAATGGAGTGTGACAGCGGAGAGCCAAGGAGAAATGAACACCGTACTCAGTTCACATGGGTGTCACACACTTGTTGGTGTTGGCTTCGCCGCTCTGTTGCTGGTGGCTGGCAGACTGCCAGACTGGCGCATGGCATGTCAGCCTTGGTTGCTGCGCACATTGCTGTGCAGGGAATACATGCACGAACACCTGTTCCGCCCCCGCTCGTGGGGGTTTCGCAGGCATGGGGAGTGCGTGCGTGAGTGCGGTTCGTGCCATCCAGCATGCAAAGGTTGCTGCCGTCGTGCGTGCCTCTCTCACACACACAAAGTCAGCCAAAACCAGCCAGGTGGGGTGAGCGCCTTGTCTTGCTGTGGATTGTGTGCGTGCAACCTCGAGCAAGCAGTCGTCGAAGGTCTGAAGGTGGTTGCAAAGGAGGCCGCATGAAAGGAAGCACAAAGAAGCAAACGGAAGGGCTGTCTTAAAACGTGGTGCGCACGCACATCTCACCCACGACGCAGCATGCACGCGCGTGAAAACTCCGTGTGAGAGAACATGCACCGCGCGCAAGCAAGGTTGCTGCTGCAGTCCTTTGACATTGGTTGTGTCACAGCAGTCATCGTTGTTGTTTTGTGGTGGTTTCTTTTTGTTTTTCTTTCTTTCTTTTTGTTGTTGGTGGTGGTTGTTGGCAAGAAGGAGTGAGCAATATGGTGGCGAACAACAAACAGAAGACACGTTCCACGCTGCGTCGCACGCAATGGGCAAGGCTTGCTCGTGACAACGGCGTGGGGCGCTTGGGTTGGCGTGCGTTTAATGCAGGTGTCCGGAGCAATGCGAACGTCGTCGGTAAGGAGCAAAAGCACACGAGAAAGACGAGGAAGGAAAAAAAAACGGGACGCGGACAGGGAACGCACGCAGATTAAACGCACATCACAAACACACATGGAACGTGCTTTGCACGCATCAAAGCAAACATGTTCAACACGAAACAACGGACACTGAGCGGTTTTGTGGTGCACCGCACACATGCAACTGAGTAGGAGAAACCGACAGCAACATAGCAGACACAACAACAAAAAGTCAATGCTACCGCTCACACACACACACACACACACACACACACACACACACACACACACACACACACACACACACACACACACACACACACACACACACAAGACTATCATCAGTGGGAGTAGGAACAAGAAGCATGGAATGCAACAACCACTGACATACACATAGAAACTCGCACACACACATACACACATAAATGCACAAAGACACACAATACACACACAAAGACACAAATGTCTCTCTTTAGGCAGTGGAAACAACGGCATATGACTGCTCGCGCTTCTTCTTCTCAGCACGCTGATGAAGGGCAATGGCCACCAAAAGGACGGTGACACCAATCGCCGCTAGAATACCAGCAATCGCGCCGCCGCCAAGACCAGTCGAGTCATCAGAGCCGCCCTGCCTTCCGTCATCCGTCGTCGAAACAGGTGGCTCATTCGTCGGCCCGCCGTTGTTGCCTCCAGGTGGAAGCGTGCTCGAGCTTGGCGGCTCCGTCGCCTGTGGGTTCACAACAGCAAGACCGCCAAGCAGCGCGAGATCCTCGTCGCTCGCAGAGCCCGTCTGAGACGCCATCTGCTCCGCCAGCGTGCCTTGCGTAAACGAGTCCTCAATCGCCTGACTCGTCATGTTGGCGTCCGTTGTCATCACACCAACATCCAGCGAAATGTCACCCTCTGCACGGCGGCCGCGGCCCACCTCCACCGACGCAGACGTCACGCTGCGCACGCTCACGTTGGCAGGAAGCAGGTTCACAACACCGGCAGCCAGGCTCACGGCCTCCGCAAGCTGGTTCGCGTCCAGGCGGCGGCTCAACGACGCAGTCACCATGATGGAGAAGCGAACCTCAACAACAATGGATACATCAACCTCAACGGTAAAGGTGGAGGAACAATCGAGCTTGCACGCCAGGTAGTTGTCCCAGCACCGCGTCACAGGCCCAGCACCGGCACGCAGGCAGAGGCGCAGATCGTTATTGCAGCACGCAAGACAGGACTCGCGACCAGCGGTGCACACAAGCTGCGATGATTCGCAGCTGCACTTGCGCGTCTCCGTGTTCCAGAAGCACCGGTTGTCCGTGTCACGGTACGCCCTCGACAAACACGACGTCTGCTGGTTGCACAGGCTCTGCCTAAACTCATCACTGCCCTTGAATGAATTAACATCCTCACACGTTTCAGGTGGCGGCTGGCACTCGCCAGGGTACACGACCTTGACGTTGGCGCAGCGGGCGTGGCACACAGAGGGATATGTGGTGCCGTCCTCGCCACACGCCTCCATCGCGCCGTACTCGGGGCACCGCTCCTCGCACGACACACACACACCGCCATAAGCAACCTCAACCCCGGCCGAGCGTGCATAGCACACGTTGTCGTACGTCTGCCCATCAACGCCGCACACAAATGACTCCCCATACGACACGCACGGGTCCGGCTCAACCTCGCACTCCACGCTCTCGCCCGTCGTCGCATTCACCCACACCGCGTTGCACCCGTAGCACGGGTTGAACTCGCACACCGCATCCGGGTGCGCCTCGCACGTCGCCTGCGCACACGGGTTGTAGTCGCACGTGTACGCGCTCGCACACGGGCGGTGACACTGCGCACGCGTGCCATCGCCAACGTAAAACTCGGCCCGGCACCCACCGCACGTGTTCGCCCGGCACGTGGCCGTCGGATCGCCAGGGCACGTCGCGTCCTCGCACGGATCCCGCAGGCACGCATACGCAACCACGCCAGGTGGGCACTGGTAGCTGTCGCCAGGCACATCGTCCGATGGCCTGGGCACATACTCCCCAGCATCAAAGCACAGGTCCTGCAGCGCATACGACTGTGGCCGCCGCGCGTACTCGTTCCGGTACGTCTGTCCAGACTTAGCGTCATATGTGGCCTGGACTTTCAACTCATATGCATCGATCACGGCCTGGTACTCATCGCCACGTCGCATCCAGTTGATGTTCCTCCACCATGTTGGCAGCGGCTGCAGTGGCCGGCAGGTGCGGGTGGGCGGTTGATACGTCCTGTTCTGGATGCGCTCATACACTCCACGCTGCACGCGGTACACATCACGCATGTACAGCGGCGCGCCAGAGCCCGTTCCGCACCCGCGCTCGTCCAGCCCGTTCTCATCAAACCCATACGCATCGTACCCGCGCACGTCAAAGCCATACCGGTCAGAGCCGTACATGTTGTTCGCGTCCACAGGCACGTCCACATACTCGCCGTCAGCGCCACGCCCGTACCGGTCGCGCCCATACACGTCGCGGCCGTTGCTGTCGTAGCCGTCGCGGTTGTATTGCGGCCGCGTCGTGTTCACGTAGTAGCCCTCCGTCCCAGGCGTGCCGCCATACGCCGTCTCGTTGCATGGCGGGCTCTGTCCGGGCGCAGCATACACCACGCACAGCTGGGCCTCGCTGTCAAGCACCTCCGCGGCAGTCTTGGCAAACGGATCAAGCGTCATGTGCAGCATGGATGCAGGATACTGGTTGCCGTTGCCAAGCGTCACCTGCCAGTCGTACCACAGCTTGTCCACAAACGCGTGGTGCAGGAAGAACAGCGGGTCATACGGCGAAGAATACGTCGCCATTGTGCCGCCCACAAACACATGCACGTCGCCGTGGCGCGCCTCAATCTCAGCTACAACCGTCGAGTAGTCTGTGCCCGCGAGAATGCCGGCAATTTCCGCAAACGACGGCATCGCCCAGCCCAGCGCCCAGTTGCGCTCAATGCACGGCGAAAACCCGGCAAAGGGGCCGTCCGTCACACACTGGTCCACGCCGTTGCCATTGCCGCCAACAACGTTCCACACGGGCGACGTCTCCGGCGACAGCGCATCAATCGTCCAGTCCCAGTACGGGATGGTCACGTTGCAGTTACCGCTCACCTCCCGCAGCGTCAGCTCAAGCTGCTTCAAAAACTCGCGGTGCCACGGCCAGAACGCAGGGTTGCCGTGCGCCTGCGGCACAGCACCAAGGTGCGTGTTGGCAAACGCCGACCACATGTTGCTCTGCTCCAGCAGCACAACGGCGTCCGTGAACGCCTGCACTTCTTCAACCGTCATGTCGCGGATCTCCCGCCGCGTCGTCACAGCGCTGCACTCGCACGACACGCTGCCGTCGGTTGCACAGAAGCACGTCTGGCACCCAAACGTAAACGTCTCTCCAAAGTCGTACCGCTGCCCGCCATACACGCACTGCCGCGGCGCCTCCCACTTGGGGTTGCCGCACCGCCGCTCCTTGCACGTCTTGCCCTGCGCAAACGACACCACCTCAACCTGCCCGTCTCCGGTCTCCAGGGCCTGGCACGCACTGCGCGTCATCTGCTGGCACGAGAACTCTGCGCCCTGGTACGTGCCGTCGTACCCGTATCCGTCCCGGTCGTACCCGGACCGGTCCAGCCCTGCGCGGTCTCGCCCAGTGGCGTCGTACTGCTCGTCGGCCAGGTAGCCAAACTGCTGCCCGTCACGGCTGTACGTCTCAGAGTACCCGCGGATGTTGAACCCGTACCCGTCTCGGCCCCGCGTGTCATATCCACGCTCATCCAGCCCATACGCATCGTAGCTGTTCCGAGTGAACGGTGCATATGTCAGGGCTCGCAACGAGAAGCCATCCCGTGCATAGCCTGTTCTGTTGTAGCCGTAGCGGTCGTAGCCACTGCGATCGTAGCCATAGCCATAGCCACCGCCGTTGGTGGGCTCCATGCGCCGGGTGCAGCAGGCGCCAACAGCACAGCGCTGCTCACACGCCTCCCTGCTCTCAAAGTTGTTGCTGTTGCCACCGCATCCACCGTACGTAAACTGCTGGCACTGCTGCGTCGGCTTGTCAAAGTACCACCGCCCAATGCTGGCCTTGCACGGTCCAGGAAGCGCAGGCTGCGCACACACTGGCTGGTACGTGTAGCTCCCGGCATCACACTTCCAGTAGCACGACCAGATGGCTTGGAGCAGAATCTGCGCCCGGCGGGTGGGGACAGTGATGCCATCGTAGCAAGCCTCGTCGCATGCACCGTTGCGTTGGCGCTGCTTCACCAGCTCGTACAGCGCCTCACGGCATGGGCCGTAGCGCATGCACGCATCAAACTTGTCCTGGCACTCTCCAGTGCACCGGTCACGCAGCGAGCAATCAAGTGAGTTCACATCATCGTACGAGTCGTACACGGCGTCGTAGAAGTCGACAGAGCAGCGGCCGCAGTTGCTCACAACACACACGGCATCCGGATACGCGAGGCAGCGCCGGTCGCTGCACAGGTCGTCAGGGCAGTCCACCTGCGGCACACCGCGCGGGCACACGCAGCTCGGCTCAACCACGCCGTAGTCACGCAGATCCCACTGCGACGGCGACTGGCCCTCGTGCGAGAAGCACTGGTTGTCCTGCTTGTCTTCGTTGTCGCGGTGCCACACCTGCACAGTGACGTACACGGTCATGTTGCGCGGCAGCCCATCCGGCACAGCGCAGGTGATGGTGTCGCCATTGCTGCTCACCGCAGCCTCCGCATAGCACCCGTGCCACGTGCACGACAGCGCGCCAGTTGTCGGATCCTCCACCCAGAACCCGCACGTTGCCCGCGCATGCACGCCATACGATGGATCAATGGCCACAGACACATCAACTGTCTCCGCATCCTCCGCCAACCCGCATGCAGGCTCGACTTCAAACACCCGCGGCACATACTGCGGCCGGCACTCCGGCGCAGGGCACCGAATCTCAAGCACCGCGTAGTCGTACGCCTCCCACTGGGATGGCGACTGGCCCTCGTGCGAGAAGCACTGGTTGTCCTGCTTGTCCTCGTTGTTGGCGTGCCACACCTGCACGGTGATGCGCACAGGCCCGCTCGCCGGCATGCCGTTTGGCACCTCGCAGGTGATGACGTTCCTGTCCACGTCCACCGTCGCCGGCGCATAGCACCCGTGCCACGTGCACTGCCACGAGGAGCCGTCGCTCGTCGGCCGCCAGAACGCGCACGTCGCCCGCGCATCATCACCATACGTTGGGTCAATCCACACGCCAACCTCAACCGTGCTTGCATCCGCGTCCAGCCCACACCCGGGGTTCACCCGGTACACGCGCGGAACCGTGTCGTGCGCGCACACGGGCGCAGGGCAGTTGACAAGAAACACTCCGGAATCATACTCGCTCCAGTGGTACGATGACTGGCCCTCGTGCGAGAAGCACTGGTTGTCCTGCTTGTTGGCGTTGTCCTTGTGCCTCACCTGCACCGTTACCCGAACAAGCTCGTTGAGCTTCAGCCCCTCGCGCAGCGTGTACATTGATTGTGTCGTCAGCCGCATTCACCGTCGCTGCTGCGTAGCACCCTTGCCACGTGCAATACAGCCTGTTGTTCGTTCTGGCATCAGAACGCACACGTTGCCCGTGCATCTGCGCCGTATGTCGGGTCGATTGCAACAGACACGTTCACCGTCTGCGCGCCTTCCTCCAGCCCGCACGCAGGCTCAATGCCGTACACGCGCGGCACATACGCATCCGTGCACTCTGGACCAGGGCAGTTGACCGAGAACACGCCAAAGTCAAAGCCGCCCCACGAGTACGACGACTGGCCCTCGTGCGAGAAGCACTCGTTGCGCTGCTTGTTGGCAGTGTTGTCCTTGTGCCACACCTGCACCGTCACGTGCACCTCCTCGTTCGGTGGCAGGCCATCTGGCAGCGTGCATGTGATCACCGTGCCGGCCGCGTTGACGCTGGCCGCTGCGTAGCACCCATGCCACGTGCACGACAGGCGTCCAGTAGCATCAGGCAGCCAGAAGGCGCACGTTGCCCGCGCGTCATCGCCGTATGTCGGGTCAATGGCAACAGAGACGTCGATGGTGGTGGCGTCCTGTGCCAGGTCGCACTCGGGATCAATGCCGTACACGCGCGGCACGTACTCGTCTGTGCACTGCGGAACAGGGCACTTGGCCGTGAACTTGCCATAGTCGTAGTCGCTCCACAGGTACGACGACTGGCCCTCGTGCGAGAAGCACTGGTTGCGCTGCTTGTCTGCGTTGTCCTTGTGCCACACCTGCACCGTCACGAAGATGGACACGTCCTCGGGCACGCTTGGCGGCAGCGTGCACATGATCGTGTCGCCTGCGGCGTCGACTGTTGCCGCTGCATAGCACCCGTGCCACGTGCACGACAGGCGACCATCGGCATTGCGAATCCAGAAGGCGCACGTTGCCCGCGCGTCCTCCCCGTATGTCGGGTCAATCGACACAGACACGTTCACCGTGCTCGAATCGCCAATGCCACACTCAGGCGACACGTCAAAGATGCGAGGCACCGTTTGCTGCGAGCAAGGGCTGCCAGGCTGCGTGCACGTGTCGCGTTTGGTCAGCAGCGCGTAGTTGTACGTTGAGCAGAACGGGGAGACGAGGTTCTGGGCGATGGACGGGTACAGTGTTACACGCAGCTTGACCTCGGCGCCATCGGCAAGAATGTCCCACACGTCAGGCAGCTCGCACGTCACGCTCACAAAGCCGTCACGGCTGGAAGGCGCCACCCATCCAAGCGTCATGCATCCGCTGGGTCCACACACGCCGTCTGTGTCATAGAAATGGCAGTACGCGCGCAGCACGCGGTCGGTTGCCTTCCACTGGCTGCCCACATTCACCGTCACCGTGTCCGTGCTCTCCACGCACTGCTGCTTCTCAAAGATGAACGGCTGCTCCGCCGGTGAGCACTCCTCGTGGCAGTCAAGCAGGCAGCTCGAAGCCTTGAACAGGAGGCTAGCGAATGTGTATCCGGCCACGTAAGATGAACAGCTTGCATAGCATGTGCTGTCGCACGTCGTGTCAACGTGGGCATTGTAGAGGCAGTCAAGGGCCTGCTTGCACGCATCATTGCGATTGCACCCTGAATCTGAGCGCGACACACATCTGCGTCACAAGTTGCCGTGCTGGGCGCAGATGTGCACTGCTCCTGCCACTGGCATCCGTTGAAGGTGCACGAGTCTGAAGAGGTGTAACGCGTGCAGGGGTTGCTGCGTCGGTTCACGTTGCACTTCTCCACGCTGCTGTCCCAGTAGCAGAACGAAGATCCATACTGCACACACGCCGACTGGGACAAGAAGCCGCTGCATCGCTCCTCGGGCGCAGCGCACCGCTGCTCCCACTCGCACTCCGAGCTTGTACTGCACTCGTCCTTTGTCGGATACGTCGTTCGGCACTCCACCTCCCCAAGACACGTCTTGGTGCACGACACTGCGCGATCCAGCAGCCGGGCAGCGCCCACACTCAGGTCCGCGTACGCGTCGTTGAAGCACGCGGCATCACACGTGCCGTTCTCGTAGCGCGCACCAATAAACTCCCACGCCGCGCGGCAGTCTGCACGCTCGGTGCACGGCTTGATGACAGATGCGCACCTCTCCTCCATGCACACTTTGGTGGGGTCCTCGGGCGGCACAGGCTCGTCGTACTCGCACTCCTTGCGCCACTCACAGGACGATGACGAAGCCCGGCACAACGTCGCATCCTGCAAATCAGGCAAAGCAGAGGGGACGTGTACACGTGTGAGCATGCAAGGCTTGCATAAATGCGGAGCGACAATGACAATGGCAGCAAGTCCACACAAACTGGCAAACACACAAATGGCTGGCAGACAAGCAAGAACAGCACAAAAGACAAGACAATGTCACCATACCTGGTAGCTCAAGCATTCATGACGTTGGAGGTAGCACCAGTAGTTGTCTTCATCCCAGCTGCAGCGGCGATCAGATAAGCATGCGAGCTTCGTTTCTGCCCAGCAAAGCGTGTCGTCCTTTGGTGCACAGTATTGGTTCCTGCTGCAAAGATGATTGGCCTGGCACATTTCCTCGTTGCTCACGGCGCAGACAGGTGCAAAGTAGCAGCGCTTCTCGCACTTTGCCACCTCCATGAATGCAGCATGCTCCTCTGCAGTTCGCGACACCTGGTCCATGCACTCGTTCAAGCAGACGTCTGGGTCTGTGCACTCGCCTTGCTGGGATGGGCGAAGTGCGCATTCGTATGTTGCTCTGCAGCCTCCAGTGCACTTGCTCAGCGCGTCTCGGCACACCATGCGCTCGCAATACGTGCTGCCGTAATCGTCAAACTCGTGCTCAATAACCGAACGGAGGCACATCTCCTGCCATTGGCATTCGTCACGGCCATTGCACCTGCGCTTGTCCTGTTGTTGAACAGAAGAGAACGAGGGTACAAACAAGAGCGCACAGAGAGGCGGTAACGTAAGTGGCCAAGCTGAAACTAGGAGCGCAAACATGTGTAAAACGGAACGCTACCCAAGTTCAAACAGCTACAATGACTCCAAGTGTACGCGACCAACCTGATATTGGAAACACGGATGCTGAGCGAGGAAGCAGCCTGCAGCGTCCCACTGGCAGCCGTCTTCAGCCTCGCATGCTGTCATGTTGCTGTGCTGGCAGCGCGCAGTAGTGGGGCGGCATTGCTCAACGAGAGCACATGATGTCTGTGCAGCACACGCATGCTTTTCACCACTGTACTGTTCGCAGAAGTCATCCAAGTTGGTTGTGGTCGTTGTCGTTGTCGTTGTCGTTGTCGTTGTCGTTGTCGTTGTCGTTGTCGTTGTGGATGTGGACGTGGAGCTTGATGATGAAGAGGAGCTTGTTGACGTCGACGTGGAAGTGCTTGTGGATGTGTCTGTGACTTTCACTGTTGTGGTGGTGGCGTTGAGATCAGTCGTGGTTGTGGGAATGATGGTTGTTGCGTTGAGCTCGGTCGTGGTTGTGGCCTCTGTTGTCGTTGTCGTGGGAATGATGGTTGTTTCGTTGAGCTCGGTCGTGGTTGTGGCCTCTGCTGTGGTTGTCGTGGGAATGATGGTGGTGGCGTTGAGCTCAGTCGTGGTTGTGGCCTCTGCTGTCGTTGTCGTGGGAATGATGGTTGTTTCGTTGAGCTCGGTCGTGGTTGTGGCCTCTGCTGTGGTTGTCGTGGGAATGATGGTGGTGGCGTTGAGCTCAGTCGTGGTTGTGGCCTCTGCTGTCGTTGTCGTGGGAATGATGGTTGTTTCGTTGAGTTCGGTCGTGGTTGTGGCCTCCGCTATTGTGGTGGCATTGAGCTCGGTCGTGGTCGTTGTGGGAATGATGGTGGTGGCGTTGGGCTCGGTCGTGGTTGTGGCCTCCGCTGTTGTGGTGGCATTGAGCTCAGTGGTGGTCGTTGTGGGAATGATGGTTGTTGCGTTGAGCTCGGTCGTGGTTGTGGCCTCCGCTGTTGTGGTGGCATTGAGCTCAGTGGTGGTCGTTGTGGGAATGATGGTGGTCGCGTTGAGCTCGGTCGTGGTTGTGGCCTCCGCTGTTGTGGTGGCATTGAGCTCAGTGGTGGTCGTTGTGGGAATGATGGTTGTTGCGTTGAGCTCGGTCGTGGTTGTGGCCTCCGCTGTTGTGGTGGCATGGAGCTCAGTGGTGGTCGTTGTGGGAATGATGGTTGTTGCGTTGAGCTCGGTCGTGGTTGTGACCTCCGCTGTTGTGGTGGCATTGAGCTCAGTGGTGGTCGTTGTGGGAATGATGGTTGTTGCGTTAAGCTCGGTCGTTGTTGTGGGAATGATGGTGGTGGCGTTGAGCTCAGTCGTAGTGGCCTCCGCTGTTGTGGTGGCGTTGAGCTCAGTCGTAGTGGTTCTCCAAGAGGTAGTTGACATCGAGGTGCTTGTTGAAGTACTGGTTGATGTGCTTGTTGACGTATATGTACTTGTCGAAGTCGAAGTTGATGTGGAAGTGGACGTCGCACTTGTGGTCGACGTACTGGTTGATGTGGACGTGGATGTGGACGTGGATGTGGACGTGGATGTGGACGTGGATGTGGACGTGGATGTGGATGTAAAGTTCAGGATGCCACTGCTGTCCGAGGTTGTAGATGTGGAGGTGTTTGGAAACGTCGTGGACACATTCGGAAACGTCGTTGTCGTCGTGGTTGTAACCGTTGGAAAGGTCGGTGATTGGGCGACAGGGCCCTTGGCGAGGCAGAGCACCACCGCCACGGCTGCAAAGGCTATCGATGGTGCCTTCATGGCTGCGCGTTGCACGCGGCGCCACCAGATGCTCCAGACAACACCAAAATGGAGTGATTGGGAGTGGCAATTGCCTGCAGCACCCCCAACCCACAAAACGCAGCACAAGTTCGAGAGTGAGTTGGTGAGTGAGCCAGTCAGCCAGTCAGTAACGAGAGTGGATTGTAGGTGAGCTCGCGTGTGAGCACGTCGGCACGTGTCAATGAACGTCGAGGTGAACAAACACAAAGCGCACCACCTCAAATCGTGCACACCCACAGACGCACACACAGACGCACACACATACACAGACGCACACAGACACGTGCACTCACACATGTTCACGTGCGCACCCATACGCGCACACTCATTGAGCAAGTCAGGAGGCGCGGACCTTGTATGAGGGAGGGGTGTGCAGATCAAGTTCAGTCCACAGGATCTTGGGTGCGGGTCGAGGGTTGGAAAAAAAATGGCTATGCCATGCCATGCGTTGACCACTTGTATCGCCGTGTCGGTGCAGGTGGCTGCAGTGGTAGGCCACGCGTTGTACCTGGATTGTTCGTTGGACGGCAGCTTCACTGGTGTCAGCGGCCGCAATGGGCCATTGTTGTTGTCGCGTGGACTGGGTGACTCGCGAAGTTATTTTTTGAATGGCGCTCCTCACTGGTTGCTGGTGGCTGAGCTGAGCGGCGCCAGTGCTCGTGCGTGATCGGCAACCATTCTCACCCGAGCCAACACATTGTTACCCACCCGATCAATGATCATCGTTTGTTTGTGGAACAGTGTTGAAGTGACGACAGCAAAGATGCGGCAGCAAGCGTCCATTTTTTGTCGCACTTGGACGGTGAACTGGATGCCTGCGTGTTTCGGTGATGCAGCACACAACGTGATGTGAGTTGCGCCTGCTCCTTCCCATCCACCAGCATCATCAATCACAAGCATAACCAGCGGTAGCACCGCCAGCAGCGCCATCACCACCAACCATTTCCCTTCCACACAACACGACACGACACTGCACGCACCTTTGATGTTTGTTGTGGTGGTGTTTTGGCTTTCCCGCCAAAACACGGCCTGGCAGAGTGGCGACTGAATTCTGTCAGCGGAAATTCCCGATGACATGTTTGTGTGTATGAGTGAGTGTGAACGAATGCGTTGTCTTGACGTGTGGGAACACCATGATTTCACCATGGTCTGACTTTGTGAAAGACCCTCTTTGTTTGTCCCTCTATCAGGTGATCTCCTGATACACAATGTGTGAATGTACACGTGTCACTTTAATAGTGTATACGTGTACCCTCTTCCTCTATCATATGCGTGATATGTACTGCATGGTGTTCATTCTCTTCTGTCCCCGATTCCAACGACACCACTGCGTGGGTTGTCTACCAAGGTTTACTTCAGCTGTGAAAGCTCTCAATACAAGTCTCAGGGAAAACGCTGAGGAACAATCTTGTCAGATTATGAGACCTGGCGGCGACACCAACTGCGAGCAACACGAAGACGCCGAGACAGAACGACAACATGAATCAGTTCAAGCACCAAGACAACCCCATGGGGAAAGTACCCGTGTTCAACGGAGTCAACATGCGCTACAGTGTGTGGGCCATGAGAGTCCGAAACTACATGTTGGAGAGAGACTGCTGGCTGGCAGTATCAGAAGGAGACAACGATGAAGAGTACGAGCGGATGATACGGAGCCTCAGTGAAAGCCAGCAAGCCCAGTACAGGCAGATGTATGGAAGGGCCATGGGTATCATCGGCAACGCAGTAGGCGGAGCACTTACCAAGATCGTGTCAGGGCCGACCATTCGCGGAGACCCACGCAAGGCATGGTTCGCTCTCAAGCAACTGTACGACCGCCGAGACGACGAGGAGATCTCCAGACTCAGTGCAAGCATCTTCGCGAGGACCTGGGGCAAGGACGACAACGTGCAGACAGTCATGGGCGATGTCATCGACGCGTATGACGAAATCACAGCAGCACAAGGAGTACTGAGCGAGTCCATGGTGGTGAATCACGTCCTCAACATCCTCCCAGACAAGTACAGGAACGTAGCGCAGATCATCCGCGTTACCCAGAGACAGCTCGACCTGAGAGAACTCCTGAAGATGCTTCTATTGGAACAAGCGAGGGCAAGGACGAAGACGCAGTCACAGCATCAACCACTCATCGCCTACGCACAGAAAGGCGATGCCAGGAAGGATAAGAGACGATGCTGGAACTGCGATAAACCAGGCCACCTCAGCAAGGACTGCAGATCAAGAAAGAAGAAAACCCCCGGGCACGGACGAAAACCACGCAGAGACCAAGACAGGACAAGGCAGTACCGGCATGAGAAGACCTTCAAACTGGCAGAGACAGCACATGTGACGTCCACAGCAGCGGCAGGAGACAACGGGTGGCTGGTGGACAGTGGTGCGACAACACACGTCTCATCAGTACGTGACGATTTTCTCACCTTGAGTGAAGAATCCGTCGACGTAACCCTGGCAGATGGGTCAACGGTTACAGCAACGGGCCGTGGTACAGTGAGACTGCAGACCAGCGCAGGGGCAGTGACGATGACAGATGTCCTGTACCTGCCCCGTGGGCAGGCACGCATTATCAGCATGGGTAAAATCATGGAGAAAGGAAACGACGTTTACAGCAAGGCAGGGTCGCTGTACATCACCTTTCCCGATCGAACGCAGATACAGCTCCAGAAGAGGGATGAGCTGTACTTTCTGCCTCAGACGACAACATCAGCGACAACCGCTGCAGCAGTCCAGGAGAACACGGCGACATCAGCAACAACGGCCACAGCAATCCATGAGAATATGGGACACAGGGCATGTGATCCCTGCATCAAGGGAAAGATGCGGAACGCCAACAGCAAGAAGTTCTCCGGCAACAGCAACAACAGCTACAAGCCAGGTGAAATGCTGTGTGCAGACCTGACAGGACCACACCCTCCTACGCTTACCGGCGGCAGATTTGCGGTCGTGCTCCTTGACGTCGCAACCCAGTACAGCAGCGTCGGACTCATGGCAACGAAGAAGGACCTGGCCAACACCTTGGACAGCATGCTGATGACATTGCCCCGGGCAATGGGCATAGGACACAGAGTGAACACACTGAAGACGGACAACGAGCCACTTTTCTCGACACCTGCTATGCTGAAAGTGCTACACAAGCACAAACTCGACATGCGGCATTCTCCCCCGTACCGACCAGAGAAGAACGGAGACGTCGAACGGCACATCCAGACTCTCACGTCCACAGCACGCACCCTGCTGATCGACGCGCGCCTTCCGACCGAGTTTTGGGGCTGTGCCCTTCTGCACGCGTCCCATGTGCACAATCACCTGAAGCCACTCCAGCGGCTGAAACTACATCCAGTGGTGCAAGACATGAAGCAGTTCGGCGTCACGGCGTACGTCAGAGATCGCAACGGTGACAAATGGAGGCCAAGAACATGGACCGGCATCTACGTCGGGTTCAACCCACAGTGCAGGGCACACAAGATCTACAACCCCGAGTCACACAACGTCATCAGCACTTACGACGTTCGCTTCCTGACAATGGAAGAATCCTGGTTAAGGCCCGTTCTTCACCAGAGGGAAGACTTTTTGCCTCCCTCTCTGGACCTGGCACAAAGGCCGTTACCATCAACCACAACAACGACCACGCATGAGCCAGTGATGACGCAGCAACAACAGACGCATGAGCCAGTGATGACGCAGCAACAACGGATGCATCAGCCAGTGCAGATACAACGACAACCTCAACGAGAGAAGCAGAAGCAGGCTCGTCGGGTGAGGAAGCAACCACAACAGCAAACAACGCACCGAAAGCAGACGTCACCAGTCCAGTCGCTGCCACCGCAGCAGACGACACCAGTCCAGGCGCTGCCACCGCAGCAGACGACACCAGTCCAGTCGCTGCCACCACAGCAGACGTCAGTCCAGACTCTGCCAACGCAGCACAAACAGGCGTCAGAACCACCACAGCAGCTGACACAAACGACGCAGCCACCACAGCAGGTGCAGCACATGACGCAGCCACCACAGCAGGTGCAGCACATGACGCCAACAACGTCCGACCAAGGGCCGCGCAGGTCCGCACGAATTCGCGCGCAGCAGCAGAAGACGACTGCAGCCAAAGCAACAGCAGCTCAGGCGCGCGCGGGGTTCGAAGAGGCGGAGAGAAGTGAGATGGACAGCCTGAGAAGACATGGCGTCCTAGAACGTGTTGAGGAGAAGGGGTATGTTAGCACTCCTGTGCTACCGACGATGTTCGTCTATTCTACAAAATCCGATGGAAAGAGGAAGGCACGTCTAGTGGTCAGGGGAGACCTGGATCAGCACGACACCAGCACTTACTCCCCAACAGCAAGCAGATCAACGTTGCTTACCTTGATGGCGTCAACCACAGCTCCACTGATGGTGATGGACGTGACCACTGCGTTCCTTCACGCCGACCTGCCAAGAGATGTGCATGTGAAGATCAGAGGAGAGGTTTTCAGGTTGCATAAGGCCCTCTACGGCCTCAAGGACAGCCCACGTCTGTTCCACCAGCACATCCACTCCATCCTCACACGACTCAGCTGGCAAGCCACCATCACCGACCCTTGTCTCTACACCCGTCAACATCAGCAG